TTTATCGTACGGTACCGAAAGTACGAGATTATGATAATTTCACGATTTCTATGAACAATATAAGCAATAATAATGTGGTGATGTGCCTACCCTGCAATGTTCAAAATACTTTACTACCTATTATAGCTATTGTTATTACTTATTAGTTATTATGCATATACGATCAGCATCCATGTCGGTTTATATAGATTAAGTCTTTTTAAGATGAACTCTAATATTTTCTCAAAAAGTAATAAAGTTTTTGATTACCTATTTATATTTTAGACGATTTGAAGTTGCTACAAAATATTTGAAAAATTTAAATGATAGTATAGTAATTCCATATTTCATATTTCGAAGTAAAATGTTTTAAATTTTTAGAGAATTTAATATAAATTATATACATATATTCTATTCAGCTAAAAAACACACCATGGGCTGATCAAAATCCAGTTTTTCATGCATTCTCACGTGATACTCTACCACAATAGAATCGGTTTTGAATTTTTAATAGCAGGGTGACACGGAGGAATCAGCGCATTCTCTGACTGAACATACTATAAATGTACTTCAAGCTACACATATGTATTTAGAGTTAAGTACAAACATAAATTCCAAACAGTTCATATACACCTATACTAGTTATAACTAATGTTTATTTAAAGTTTAAATAAGTGGAGTGGGATAGCACAAGGATACCAAACCCTTAAAGTGTTAGTCCACTAAATTTTCCATACACCTAAACTACCCTACTTTAAATATTTATATAAACTCTAATTCATAGTTTTATTCACAACTACATTTATAGTAAAAATTGATTCTTATTTCTTCAAAAATTTGGTTTTTTTATTGACTTCTAATTATATTGAAAATAGAAAGCCAATAAACTTTCCTTCATTTAAAAATACGTAATAGATCATAAACATGTCTTTTGAATTTCAAGAAATATGATTAACACATTCATTATCGATACGAATAATGATTTCACTGTTGCTACTGAGATCATTAAGTGTAACAAAAAAAGCTATCTAAAATTATATTTAAACATCTAGTCTTTACGTATGTTCATTTCGAAAAGTATTTCCAAAAATGTCATAACTTTTCGTTAAAATGAGGGTTTACCTATAAAAGAATCATCTTATATACAATACATATATTATTATGCATACGCTATCGCGTGTAGCGTATAGATTAAAAAAAAAACTAAATTCTCTTGCACATTTGACAATACCGATTTTTTTTATCTTTATTGGACATTTTAAAACTATAATTTATTATTACGGTCCCAGCGTAGCTAAATATTTCAAGTAATATTGCAATGAGTATACGAATAATATCTAGAAAATGTCAGTGATCATATTTTGTTGTCTTTATATCGAGCGAAATACATTATCACACTCGCATCATATTTAAATTTCAACAAAATATCTATATATTTTTTAAGTTTATTATAACCGTCATTATGTTTCTGTCGGTTTATGATTCTACCTCAAAATATTATTTTAAGTTTAAAAAAAATTCAATTTATTCTATAATATTATATAATAATATGTGTGTGTAAAACGTGAGTACTGAATATTATATATTTATATGTATATAAGGTATACATTATTTTAGAAATTTATTTTTCCTGATTCTCCGAATATAGTGCTGATAACGCCACGCTAAATTAGACAGGAAAAAAATCACAAAAATAAATTGCTCGCTCGCTCTTTTGACTTATATAATCCACGTGGTAAATTTCTAGACGAGGATCCGCTAAAAATGTAGTTTCCTGACCGAAATACCAAGGTCACGAAAATGAATTTATTTCAGAAATCGGTAGGTACGAACTTAAAATAAGTATTTTCGTAGTTGAAAAATATTATTATGGGTATTCTAGAAGTGTCGTAAATTATGACTCGTAATATAGTCGTAATAGTGTTATTTTATTCATAGAAATGAATAATTTATTCAATACAACACCGATCACATAATACTATTAAGTATAAATATTAGGTATAAAAAGACTATTTGAATACTAACAATTTCTTTTAGATTTAATAAGTGATTAGTAGGAATTATACTAATTTTTAAGTATTTGTTCATAGTATGTCATCAGGATAAATTGTCAGTTATAATAATTGTTTTTAGTTTGAAATTGAAAAAAATCCTTTTATAATACAAATATATTTAATTTGTAGTCTATAGTAACCCACAGTACCAAACATTGTTCTATAATATCATAATACTATATTACTTGTAATTTAAAAAATTAAAACCATGAACAGAGTGATTGGCGAAGCATGCTTATTGCTTACCCCTTTTTCCTTCAATAATGTATTTATTTATTTACATAATTATTGAAATATTTAAGTATACTTAAGCAAACCTTAAGTCATAATTTAAAATACATTTTTTTTTATTACTTTATTAATAAATACACAATCTATACGCAATCGTCACAATAAGAGTATGAGCTAATGACAATGACAATATAATGGAATTTTGAATGAAGAAGCTACCCACCGATGACACTTATTACGTCTTTAATTATTTTGTTTTAACCTTAATATTATTTATTTTTTTTTTTGTGTTAGGGATTAAGTAGGTCTCTGCACCATTTATGCTTAAGGCGACGATGAGGGTTATCAGGAATGGTTAATGAAGCTAGATTTTTTATAAGTTTGTTTGGATGAGAGTTAAGGCGTAGGTAGGTGGAATCGTTTATAATAATTTTTTGCCTCTTCCTGAATTGTTTTCATGTGTAGGTCTTTAAGTCATAATTTAAAATACATAGATTTTTTTAAACAATTTAAGTGGTGTTCTCTGGATTTTTATTTATCGAAATCGAAATATTCTAATTAGAAGCTTTTGAGTAATTTAACTTTAAATAGCGATTCTTTCATGATTTTGAAGGGTTCGTTTGAAACTTAAATATTGACTTTGACATATTCTTAAGTAACACTATGAATAACATAATTAACTGAATTACTTGAACTCGATAACCTACCGAAGAAAGCTGACTATATTATTTGATGTGTGATTTCTTAAAGTAAAATGTATTAAATACATAGTTAATGCGGGAGTTCACCAAAACATTTTGAAAACATAATATTATAATTAATAATAATATGGCGAGAAAACGACATTATTTGAATTAACACTATTAAAATGTATATTATTTTTATATATTATTTAAAATGTACTTGCTACGATACAAAAATACACGCATGCATCTATTTAMTTTTAATTCGTTTACATAAATTCGCATCCCCAAACGTTTAAGACACAACCTTATTTTTTCCCACAAAATAAACGTGAATTTCACATAACGCATAATAATAATTCAAATATAATAATAATGATTAATGACGTTTGAAATATTCCAATAATAAGTACTTACATGGTTTTTTTTCATCCATATCGATTAATACCATTTAAGATTTATTTAAATCGTTTCCCTCCAAAAAAATTAAAATAAATAAAGCTACTCATAAAATAATTACTGATTACGGTAACAGCAATAATGGCTTTTAACTTGTATGATGTACCCTATTAGGTTTAATTTTTATAAAGATTTAATGACGTTTTTCTCACCCAATCAGCACCCCACCCCCCCCACACCATTCATATCAATCTGCAATATAATGTTTTCTTTTGAAACTTAATCTTTGATCACCAAAGAACAATTTAAATATTTACGATGCATAATATATTATATATAAGTTATAGGAGCCGCTGCTATAGTAAGTTTATTTTGAAGTTTTAAGTTTGGACAATATAATAATATAGGCAGCCAGCAGATTGAGTGGTAGTTCCTCTAATATGATTATATATTTATGTGGATAGTTTAGTAAAGGATACGTCTGTTACGCCTTAAAGAAAGTAACTTCTGAACCGGTATTCGTATGTACGTGGTAATATATAATTCCTTCATCTTTCTCTAGACTTAAAGTTTTTCAGAGAATTATGTAAACAGTGGGGAATATATTTTTATTTTATTTTAGATGTTCAAAACTTTAGTTATTTAATTTTTGGAAGCAATTTTGAATTAGATAGAAATTTCGTTATGTAATATCACCGAATGCAGGTGAAAATAATAAATTATTAACCGCCAACTTCCAAAAAAATATTTTGTTGTTATTATATTTTTTAGACTATGCAGAAGCCATAAGCTATATCTGTCAAGTTAATAACTAAATGAGTTGTATATAATTGTTATTGCAATTGTCATATTCTTAAAATTAAAATTTATATTTAATATTAAATTTTCTAGACGATCGGAAAAACACAAAGACCTCGCACTTCATCGACAGATTATATTTTCATTTACTCGAATAATCGCAGGAAAACCCAAAGAACATAATAGATATGTTCAACTAACAATTTTGACTTACACTGCTCAAACAATTACTCGTCTAATAGGTACATAAATAATATTATGGTAAATGGTAATCGTGTTCTTAAGCCTCAGAAACCCAAAATAATAATATATTATAACATATTATTATTATTATTATAAAACAAAACGTGTTATACGCGCCTCAATAATCTAATATATGGGTCTACTATAATTATAATAATAATTTTTTAATGCCATTATAACAAAAAAAAGTTATTATAATTATAATTATTAATTATGCAGGTAAATAGTTTCGACAGAGCGGGCGCCCCTCCCACACTCCGAAAACCATCATATTTATGACCACCCCATCCTTATGGCTTTTGAATAACAACAGTTATTGTTACCATCGTCCGCATCGCGACATATCAACAATGGTTACGTTAGCGTCATAAAATAATACAAAATAATATATAGATGGTACCAACCTTATAATTATCTTACCTTCATGACATCAAAACGGTATCACATTCTGGATGCCAAAAAACAGCCCACATCTCATTAATTAGCACATTGTTTTTAATATTATGATATCATATTGTTTTCGTTTAATCATTCCAGTCTTCACGTTATTGCTTGTTCCACGAACCTGCAGACTTTGACGACACGTGGCCAGAGAAATTTACCGATTTTTGAGCAAACCGCGTCCGGACTTCAAACCATCATGAATACCTCCACCGCCGTTGTGTTCGCGTTCTGCTGCGGTTCACTGTTTCAGTTGATACAAGTCTGTTCGTTTATGCATCTGGGTGATATTTACCAAGTAAGATACATGACGTTATAAGCGATAAAAATTCGGTTTATATTCTCACCACTCTTTCACCTCCACCATCGTATATGCTTGAATTGAGATGATTAGGTATTGGAATCCTTGTCGAATATCGGAATATAGGTATTACATCGTTATATTAAGTACCATTGTACCACGGTTGATGGACTAACATATTATTATTTTAATCCGTATTCTGTATTATTTATTAACCTACCGACATTGTACAATGTGGCTGTGCCTCTAAGTTCAGTAAGTATCGCTATCAGTAACTGCGCCTGCAAGCAGAACGAAATATTATTTAAATGAAAATTTTTCCACATTAATAATACAAAATAAAATTCCATCGAAAATTATTCCACTATATTTTTACGAAATATCATAAAAAACATCTACGTTACAATAGAGATTTATTTCGATAAGTATGTAATTCATTATTTTTCATTTGTCGCATTATTCTAACTAAAAACAAAAATTTATTTTGTTTTTACGTGGTAAACTCGCATTTAATTTAATTTAATTATTTTGTTCTTTAATTGCTTGAAAAATGAATATGAAGGTCAATACAAAATGGTCATAGCAGAAAACCAAACTAAACAAACAATTTTTTCGAAAAAAACACAAGGTTTGAATTTTTATAGATTATTGTTGAAAACTCGCATTTATAATAATACATATATTGTATCGATTTTCCATGTACATAMTTAAATTGTGATAGGTCTTAGACCCTAGTCCCTACAATTTTTAAGCATATTATATCCTATGACGTCAGCAAGTGCAGTCATTTAAATTGTTTGAATATGAAAAAAAAATATGTATATTATTTTTGAAATATTTAAACTATTATTTATCTTACTGAGTTTACCAGTTTCCCATCTACAACGTTGCTTAATAGTATAATATATTATTTATGTAAAGTTGGACAACGTGGGCTATGGCAAGGCAAATTTAATTTAACCATCTTTTGACTTTACATTATTATTAGGTAGTATATTTTTAGTTTTCGTCTTTACAACTGTCAATCCAATATAACATCAATTTGATTACGCGTTTTTTTTTTCATTTCTTATATTTGTATGTTTACAAGTGTACAACCATTTCACATGCATGGCCAATTGTATTACTATATTGAGCTCCTGTCAATAAGCATTACGGCTGAACTATTACGATATTACATAATATTGTAAAAACAATACATTTTTATTTTGAGATATATTTTTTAAACAAATAATATAACAATTTTTGCGTCCTATACAAAGAGTGCAATCAAACAAAAAAAAATAATAATAATAATAATAATACTTATAATTAATTAATTAGTATGTGAATATTATAATGAAAGTAAAACTATGTTTATGTACTACAGTGATATATTAGTTGAAATCGTTTGGATAGTATTTCTCCGATGATAAATATTGTAAAAACCAAAAAAAAAATTATAAGTTTGTGTATATAATTAGGTACGTAATATTATGTACATAGATACTATTATGGTTTAATTACTTATATAAATGAATAAAACAACTTATAAATTTAAATTTAATGTAATCACCATCAGCAAATATTATATACTAGGTGCCTTATTGATTATAAATTATAATATAGTTTGTCATCTTAAAGTCAGTAAATATACCTGCAACTAAGGGTCTACAATAATGTCATGTATTCAAATATCACACATGTATAACGCATCTTCTTCTTTTTACCTAAATTTTGATGTATTTGAAATCGTTGTGAATATTTTAGACCCAGATATGTAACAATACTATAATGTGTAAAACCGTTTCTTTTCCCCTACTTTTAACACTAATCGTTTAATGTGTTTTACAAGCATTAAATTGCCTTACATTTTCAGAACATTTTATATGATCGGAAAATGTAATTTTCTAAATACGATATTTGTTTTTAATATAAAAGTAATAATAATCATAGAGTTCTCGGAGCATTAAAAAAAATGTTTGTAACTGTTATTGTCTTTAAAAAAAGTTTACACATTCACTTGACCATTAAAACTTTAGAACGTAATAATGTAATAAACCTGTGTTGTAAAATAAACACTTCCATTGTGACTGGTATAAGGGACAACTTAACCATAATATCGGTTTTTTTAAATATATATTATATATATATATATGGTTACGTACAGAGTGATTCACCAAGCATGTTCACTTCCATGTTTTCCTCTAACAATAAAATTATTCAAATTCTAAGTTTTGTAAATTATATTTGTTCAATGTGTGAATGTGTCCATAATAATTTCATTATTTAGTTTATTTATTTCATTATTCATTATTTAGGTTTCATATATCATATTATACAATTTTAATATTGTTAATGATCCAATTATTTGGGGAATTTTTGTTTTTTTAAATAGCACTTTTGCAAATATTTTGTCTTTGATCAGTCATTGTTCAATGACATCAATTTCCAAGATATGAGATCAAATATAATATAGACGATTGGTATAATATAAGTTATAACTATAAGTTTATTATTTTTTTAATTATCTACACAATTGTTACCACTATTACAGTATTACACATTTAGAGTTGCGTAGCATAGTGTTACAACTAGACATAAATTTATACCTACTTACTGTAAGAAAATAAAAACTAAATTCATATTGCGTTTCACACTAAATAGTTAAAACTTCAAGAAATTTCGTAAATATCCTCAAGTCATATCGAAATCAAATATTGATACATGGGAACAGTTGTTAAGTTGTAGGCACATACTTTGACATGTGTAGAGAATTTATAGTTTGTAAACATTAATGATTTTATCACATTACGAGTTGGATGTACCTTTTTATAAGTACATTTTTGTGCCAATGCATCATCTTTCATATTATGAATATATATTCAATGTTAATAATATTGAGTTGCACTTAACTGGCTATTGACATCAATGATCGATAAATGTATACACTTCAACATTTCCCAATCTTCAGGGAAACCAGATGACATTTCCCGGCCAATGACGTTGTCACCTCTCCGATCCCACATTGACGTCATTGGCCATTTGTTATATCTAAACAAAACAAGCCTACAAACGTTTATTGAAAACATTATGGTTTTTAAAATTCACAAATAATAATTTATTATATCTTTTTCTTGTCTAATAGTGAAAAACAAAATATGGTTTTAACTCTACAATTTTACTTCACATAATATTATATCATTACTTTTATTTTAATCTCAGTTAGGCATCATGTCTATCTATCGCCATCGGTATTGGTATAGGTAGATATAGGAAGCCCGAACGATGCGAAAAGCCTCTGAGTATTGATTAATAAATAATAATAATTAGCGCTATTTTTCTGTTATTATATTAACTTAACTCGTACGTTCCAGACTTTCGTTGGTCGGGTTTTATATTATTATCCATCCCTGACAGTTAAATGTATTACGCATAATTATGTAACAGAGCAAAATTAATTGAGAACATCATATTATATAATTATTTTACCTCGTTCCACATACTAAATAAAATTCCCACACCGGAAGTTATGTGTCTACACACAGATTTTATTGATAACTTGATTTTACGGCAAATGGGTTTTTTTTTCTAATTAAAATCACAGTCAAAATAATTATCACTCTGTAGCGCCAATTAAAAATTATCCAATATAGAAACTAAACACATCGCTTGTCGTAGATGAGACGTAATAGATTTATCGCAGTCGTTAGTCGTTACTGCGATACTCTGGAATAGAATGCAATAATAAGGTGACAGAGAACAAACTAAATAATGGTAAAATTGAGCTACTTTAATATAAAAGTTTATCCCACGAATCTAGTGGCATACTATCCAAAGGAAAGGTTTGAACGTATCGACATTTTATAAAATGATTATTTTTCTCGTCAGTTTAAATTCTCCAACTTCTTTATTTTAAATCATATCAAGCTTTAAAAAAATAAAATAAAATTAAGTCTAAGTAAATTATAATGAAATCATTACGTGGAATTGTACGAAATATATTTTTTTCTTTTATAAAGCATAATATTCTAGTTCTCTTTTTGAAATTTGAAATCAATCCACTCCGCATCAGACTGCCATACAATTGTACAATTGTAAGTTATAATCACGTAATTACAATATATATTCAGCAACTCCACGCTTAAAAGTTGTTTTCGATATACTTCGCGATTAGTTCGTTTGTCTTTCAACTGTAATTATTCGTTTTAGTAGTTGTATGGTTCACCATCAAAAAGCCACCACCGATACAGGTTATCCTGAATGATATTTGAAGAATTCTCGTTACATTAGATACTTATGATCAAACTATACGTTCGTTCAACTTGGGATTTTTGGAAATTTTTTGCACTAGAGACGGCACGATCAAGTATCAATTTTTGCATTATTACCTATAGATTTTGTATAGTATTTAAGTTTATAAACTAACATACTATAAGCAAAAAAGCCCAGAAACTATTATCTTTAATTTGATTTAAATTCGTAACGAAAAAATATTTCCAGTGCCACTAGACAATTTGTGATGTATCTACTATCTAGGTACCTACTTAAACACAGTAAAAAACCTGAATATTTTTTTTTTGAATATTGATCACACTTTCTATACTCACTAATTAGAGACTTCGTAAAACGCACATGTTATAAACATAAAAATGGAACAAACTTTCATAAATAAAACTATACCCTTTATACGTTTCTTAAACGCTACTCTTCAGATAAGATCTTGGAGAAGGTTTAAAAAATAAAATACACATAGAATACGTGTCAATACGAATAAAATGCGTTTCATATAAAACATAATATGTAAATAATGCGTTCCTGGACAAGTATAATACATAAATCCATTACGATTTATACGATTTATGTTCAGTCCACGTGATGCTGTAGAAAAATATTGTATGAAACGTTTTCGAAAAGTAATACAATTTTGACGATATGATCTGCAAAAAAACTTAACACCGCTTCAAGAACACTGAATACGTACGTGCGCATAAACAGGGTGTCCCACGGAGATCTGACAAATGAAATAACTTTTGTTCTAATCAAATATAATTCATAGACACTTCCGCTACATTTTTAGAATACATTTTTTATTTTTGAATACTGAAAATAAAAAACTTAAAAATTGGTAACATTTTTTTTGGAAATATTCAATATAACCAATTTGTTAATTTGATTTTAATTTCAAATATAATATAAAGTTTTTTAAGAATATTTTATAAAAACAATTTTAAATAGGTGCATGTTAAAATCTAATTATTTTAGATTCTGAACGAAGTGATGAATGCATTGATTTTACAATGATGTGTGTTTTTTTTAAATACAGAGTTTCTCATAAGTTAGTCTTATAGTGAAAAAAAAATTATAAGAACACATATTATGCACAATTTTTTTTTATAAGCGTTTATAGTTCAAATTTTTACAAAATCTGTCGAAAACGCGAAAATTTGTAGGTAATTTTGAAGTTGAAAAATCATAAAAATGTTTTGTGTTTATAACTAAGGATTAAAAATACAACACTAAGTTTTCCATAAGTTTTCCTTCAAGTAGCTATARWGAAAACTCRAAKCATCATTATAGGAAAAATTTTAAGTGCGTTTGAATTTTAAATTTTCACGAAATAACGTAACGATAACGATTTATCCTCAAACGATTTTAAACATTTGTTATTATTCAAAAAGTATAAGTCGTAGATACTTARRAAATTTGAAGCGTCATTATAAGAAAAATGTCTTGAGCGTTTGAGTTTTAAATTTTTATGAAATCGCGTAACGATAACGATTTATTCTCAAACCAAGTAATGTACCTATATCTATGATAATATAAGGTATTATGAATTATGATAACTACATGCAATTTTTTTGGAAAAATTGATTAACCATGCCTTATGCGAAATGCGTCCTAATTGAAAAATAAAATATTTGTTTCAAAATAGAATATATGACAATATTTAAATATAATATATTATCCTAGACTGACAAATTATCTCCGTTCGGAATCGTTTTTCGTATACAATGATACCTATCATTGCATTCAAATCTAACCTACCCTAGTCAGAGGTCCACCCCAACCCCTAATGTACAGCAGAGCGACATCCACTTAACCGCTTTTTTATTGTATTTATATTAATAACATGTGATGTATAAACTACATAAAATGTTTCTGACATAAACTAGATCGTAATTTTCTAAATGAAAATATTAATATTTAAAAAAAATTTAAAAAATCGGCCATTTGACTTAAATAAGTATTTTTACCATATAAATTTTTCTAAAAAGATTTACAAATTGGTTATATTGAATATTTTGAGAAAAAATGTTTATCAATTATTAAGTTTTTTATTTTCAGTATTAAAATATAAAAAATATAAAATGTATTCTAAAAATGTAGCACAAGTATCTATGAATTATAATAAGAGGAAATTTAAAAAAAATATTGATTAGAATAAAAATTTGTTCATCATTTGTCAGATCTCCGTGGGACACCCTGTAAATATATAAAATAATAACGGATAAGAGTGATAAGACAGTTTTACAAGAGTCATTATTGTTATTAAGTAACGATATTTTCGATCGAATTGATAATAATAATATTAATAATATTATTATCTAATAACGTTTATTAAAAAAATTCAGATAAAAACTTGACAAACTATTATATTTATATATTACTGTTAAAATAGTATAAAGCAGATAGATAAAATAACTGAACAATAAATTATATATTACACTTGTCCTCTGACTTGGATAACACTATAATATACTCGTTTGTTTTGCCAAACGTTTTCAATGCAATTTCATATTTTTTCTGTATATGTATTCGGTCGGTCCCTCGAGAAGTCTAAGTAAATAAGTAATATATTGGTATAACTTACAGCATATATAAAATTATCTATTGCGCCAATACTTAAATATTTTTTACCAACAGGCAGAACCACCAATAAGTGTACCTACAGGCTACAAGTACCTCAGGTTGTTAACAGTGAACATTAAAATTAAACGATAAACAAGTGTTAATCAATTATATATTATCAATAAGACAGTAAATAATTATATAGGTATTTTCATAAATCATAATGCTTTATATCATAGTCATACCACATGGAAATAAACACGTTTTAAACTTGGACCTCTTTGATTTCAAAAATCAGCCATTTCATAGACTGCAGTATTAATATATATATATTTACTCACGAGGTAAGCAAGTCGTAAGATTCATTCCACTTCTGCTGCAATATAGGTTCCGAGAGTACCACGAAAAATCAACTTTTTGTAAGGAGTGAATGTCATCATTCTTCATCAGCAATCGTACATAAGAGTTTTCAGTATTTCAGTTTTAAGAAATAATTCACTATAAATAATAATAGCCTTTAATATAGATTTTTGGATATATTTTGAACTCTATGATATCATGATCATAATAAAATAAAATACATTCAGTATTTAAAAGTTAAATCACTGATTTAAGTATTCAAATAGTCGTACAAATAGTATATATTTTACTGTACATATTACCTATATTTTTATGTTGAACAGCGTAAAATACGCAACGTCTAACTCAAATTCGATTGTTTTTATTATAGTTTCCTAATCGTAAATCATATATACGCTAAATGGCTAAGTCGTTGAAATAAAATTAACAGGGCACTCAAAAATGTAAAAGACTGTTGAACGAAATACGTTTTCAAAATATTATTTGGAACTTGTTAAAGTTTTAAACATTTTATTTATTTGTTTGTTGTGATTTCACTTACGCGCACGTGCGATGTGTGTCTACCATATTCTTTTGATTATTGGATTATCATTCCGAAATGTGTTGTACATAATGGTGAAGCGAGTTTTAATTTTTCGTGGCCTCGTTGATAAGCACACGTAGGAATTCTAAAATATTCTAAAAAGTTTGTGTTCGATCAGAGGACCGTGTGACATTTTATTTCTATTCGCTATATTCTAATATTTTATGTATAATTTTTGATTTTCGTATTTTTTCACGTATTGATCACAGATCACGTAGGTTAGGTACAAAAAAAGTACAAAAAAAAAAAATTATGTTTCATAAAACAATTATAATATTATTTTAGTTTATGCGATAAAGATATAGGTATAGTATAATAATTTGTTTTTATTAAATAAACAGTATAATTTTACATGTCGAATAAATAATTCTGGAGCAGTAACTCGCTATTCCTAACTTTTCAGATAACCCGCAAAAAAATAGAAAAACAATTCTAATTTTGGGTCATTAAATTTTCTTGAAAACATTACAGAATGTCGTGAATCTGTAAGAAGTCCCTTTTATGCAGATAAAATTTACGTAACTTAAGTTCAGTTCAGTTATATTATTTTTTTAAATACTTACGAAATTCTGAAAATTGTTTAAGCTGTTAATTTCCTATTCGAATCAAAATGTTGACATTGCGGTACATGCCGGTAAAAGACTTGCTGCAACAACCAAATGAGTCCATATTTTGAAATTGTTCAAAGCGGCCATTTTAATATTCGTTATTCCGTTTACCACTACAATAAAAAATACTTAAAGAAATGTATGGTAACTTGGAAGAAAATAATAGGATTCGTGTGGTCACAGAACAATGTAGAACGTCACACTGTGATTTGTATAACATGAAAACGACTCCGAGTACCAATCTGAGCTTATACCAAGGTTTAAGATAATATACTTTAACCGTGGTGTACATATATACGTTTGTTTGCCTGAGTTACGCGGAAACGTTCATATGCCTTTGTCAGTCAACCAATTTTACCAATTCACGTTAATCACCAAAATCCACCCTGGTGTGTTGGTTTTTGCAAAGGTATTGCTTCCATGAAAACGATTTCATGGAAACGTACACTTCGGAAATATCGTTATTTCTTTGTTGTTGCAGCATTAAACAGCAAGCCGTTCAGCCGCTGTACGCATTATTGAAAGAGCGTTATTATTATTATTTTTTTTTTTAGTTACCGGTTTAGTTTAATTGTTGCTCGTTCTTGTTATATTATATAAGTTTCAAGTAAAGTGAAAGATAGTAAAAAATTGTAAGAACTAAGATCGCAAGACACCGATTACAGAATAAATTCGAATTATTTCATTTTTGCTAAATTTATTACTTTGAAAGTCTAAAGCGGCCGGTCATCATCTGGGGCGCTTTTAGCACTAATGAAATGTGACGACTTATCTACAACGCCCTCGGAATAATAGCATGTTTATGTGATATTTTATATTGGTTTTTGTTTTCACTCACACAGGACTTACACGATGCGATGACGGTAGACGAGCTGAATTATTATTTCGGAGTGTCCTATCCGGCGGATGTACCCGAGTACGAGGTGGTCACATTGTCCGATCCAGCAGACCGACCGGATTGCACGTTTTTCATTTTTGGCAGGTAACTGTATAATATTATTAATACCATTGTATTATTATTACGTCCAACTCAAGCAAGTCTGTTTTTATTTCTATTTTTTTTACGACAAATATAATAAATATAATGTCCAGACGAGATTTCGTCAGACCCACCCTGGAACACGGTAACATATTTATTATATTTCCATTCACATAATACATAATACACGAATATGGTTGGATTTTTTTCTTAAAACTCAAAAAAGCGGGAAAGTGGGTATCGCTCTGCTGTACATTAGGTGGTGGGGTGGACCTCTGACTAAGGTAGGTTAGATTTGAATGCAATGATGATAGGTATCATTGTATACGAAAAACGATTCTGAACGGAGATGATTTGTCAATCTAGGATATATTATATTTAAATATTGTCATATTATATTCTATTTTGAAACAAATATWTKATTTTTYAATTARRACGCATTTTGCATAAGGCATGGTTAATCAATTAGTGTAGTTATCATGTAGTTATCATAATTCATAATACCTTATATTATCATAGATATACGAATACCTGGT